TAAAGAAGGAAGAAAATGTATAGCTCAGGCTCATAACTCACTCTCTCAAAGTTCACTAAAATGTTTCATAAATCTTAGTAGTCCCCTTTTTTAGATTTCTTTATCTAGTTGTACATAATATTGACTTAAATAGCTTAGATGTTTGCTTCTCAAAGTGTGGGTTAAATTATAGTAAAAGTTAGTTAAGATTCAACTATACACTTCTCAAATAAATAGAAATGATTGGCCTGATTAGAAATGTTTTGCAAATGGAATTATTACAGATATCTATGTCATTTGGCAGTGGGAGGCCCGGCCTGGTTGCATGGTTATTTTGAGGTTCCTGGCCTGGAAAGTTTGGGAACCTTTGGCTTATAGATGATAAAGTTAATATTTAGTTTTCTCGTAGCAGTAGTATTAGTAGTATTAGTAGTCATTAACTAAACATGGATCTTGCATCAAATGACTGTAATAGAAGTATATTTTTCTAATGTTAATCTTGTTTTTCTCTTTCAGGAACCTATAAAGTCGAGGGCACCGCAGCTCCATTTGGAATATAGATTTTACAAACAGCTGGGAAACTCGGGTAAGACACTACTTATCGCTAGGCCCTATATTTACTCTTACAGTTTATTGTAGGGATTATCTGAATGGAATATTTGAGTCAACACCATCAATCTTCTTCCTCTTTTCCGGGGCGGAGTCATGATTTGACCTGCTGCTTTGGCTGTTAACCAATATTTGCATTGACTTTTAGCCTTTAAAATCGATTGCAAGACTCACTATATTTTTAAGTTGAAGTAGAAGTTGAAGAAGCTGAAGTGGAAGTTGAGGTTGAAGTTCACAAATTAACTTTTCAAAACAAAATGTATTTATCTGGAATATAAAATAATTTGTTAGCTTTTTATTGTAAATATACAGCCATGTTTTTAGGGTAATTGCTCTTCTTTTTCTGTTTTTACTCTTTAAAATGACAAATCTGATGCACTGAGGAGAATCTGAAAATGTGAGAACACAAATATTACAATCGTCCTTCACTACATCGCGGTTCACCTTTCGCGGTCTCACTGTTTTGTTGATTTTTTTGGGGGGCAATTTTGCATGCTTTTTTTTTACAGTGTATGAAAGCGCATTGTGTCCCTCCCCTTGCGTCCTGATTACGGGCAAGTATGCGGGCGGGTAGTAATTACACACGGGTGGGTCAGGAATAAACCAGGTCTAAACCAGATCTAAACCAGGTCTAATCTTGGACTTAAGAGAGAGAACCCCGACCAGGGTGTCCGCAAAGTGCAATCAGGCGACGTGAGGTGCAGAGCTGATCTGGTCCTTTCTCCTGCGGTCACCTCCGAGCCGGTCCCGACAGTGAGTTCTGGTTTAGTCCTGGTTTATTCCTGTTTTAGTCCTAGTTCAGTCCTGGTTTATTCCTGTTTTAATCCTAGTTTAGTCCTGGTTTATTCTTGTTTTAGTCCTAGTTCAGTCCTGGTTTAGTCCTCCTCTTCAGTCCTGGAATCAGTCTTAGGTTAGTCCTGGGGTAGTCCTGGTTTAGTCTTGGTTCAGTCTGTGGCATAGGCAGCTCAAAAGTTTGATATAATCTCAGGTTAACGGGCGGGTACTGTACTGCGCGGGTGCGAGTCTCCAAAAACTGACCCGTGCATGACTCTGCGCTGTAGGGCTCCATTACGAAATAAATGAATTGGTTCGTTACATAAAGAAGGAGGAAAATAACAAAAGGACGACAGCAACAATAAGTTTTAAGAAGGGTGCAAAAAGGGTTAACTGTCCTGTCTGAGAAAAGAGTTTAACGTGTGTGGTGAGGGGTTTTACAGCCTTAAAACAGATATAATAATTGTAAAATATAAAGATGACTATTTCGCGGTTTATTTTTAGAACGTAACCCCAGAGATAAATGAGGGACCATTGTAATGCCAAATATGATCACTTTTTTGTTACTGACTTACAGCTATTTTAATTTGAATATATTTTGTCATTTCTAGTGTTTAGTGTTTTCAGTTATTCTTTTAAGCCCGTTCACACAAACAGTCTGACCCAGAAATTTACCTGCATTTTGCCAGAACAGTATCACGTTTGAACAAAGCCAGAGCTGATTTCCCTGTATATTTTGATTGAATATTCTGGCATATGTATTTGACAGGGTTTCGAGTCTCTTAGTCAAACTCCCGTGTTGTGTGTTGAGTTCTTATTTAGCTCCACGTGCGTCCCCTTGGCTCCCTTTGCACAGAAATGTCCCTGTGCTGTGATAAGGCGGTGGGCCAATAGGGCAGTCCTCCACTATTTTTAGCCGCCTCTCCACATGCACAAGGCCATTATGGAGACTGCTGTAAACTCCTCCCTTTAACCACAGCACTACTCTATGGCTGTCAGTGAACACAGCCAAGAATCCCGGCCTGACCCTCTGCTCATTGTCTGCTCACAGCTCAGGCGCCTCAGGTCAGGATTTAGAGGAATTACACTGGGAACACCTCTGCTTTTGTCGAGGGTCTGTGAAGCAGCTCATTTTTCCTCCTGCTGAAATCACTATCTTGTTTTTGGAGCTTGTTGTTCAGTGTTCAGGCTCTGGAGAATTTATTTGGTGCCATTAGAAAATCCTGTTGTTTCTTGTAATAATAAATAACCAAGTGAACTTTCAATTCAAGGTTTCTTTAGTAAAAAAATAAGAAAAGAAAAGAAAATTGCTCTCCTTAAGGGATGTACCAATACAACTTTTTCAGTTCAGATACCTACTTTATTACCACTACTATACTATATCTTTAAGTATCTGCCAATTGCTGGGTTTCAGATGACATCACAACAATCATTAATACAGATGGGGGGCAGACAAAATAAAAATGGTTAAAAAGGCCTGAGTATCATTAAGAAGTTGCCGATACGGTACATACCTCGATACATAGGACAGTATACGATACATTTTTCGATACAGTGCACTTTTGATTCAATACGATTCGACACGATATATTTCAGATCAATTCGATACGGTTCAGTGAAAAACAAAGGCTCAATCATGGCAAGTCCACTAAGTTTGTGCATAGTTAATATGGAAAAACACCCATTTTACTCTTCAAAATGGTGAAAATGTCAACACAACTGTACCTCTTACACAAAATTATTCAGTAAAATATCCATAAAAAATACTCTTGACGATATATCAATACAGCAGCCCACAATATCGATACTGTATCATCAAATTAAACGATACGATATATCAATATTTCAGTATTTTTGTACACCCTTACTTAATATGCAAAATTATGTTCCAGTGAGTTCTAGAGTTTAGTCACTAATTCAAAATAACAAGTTCAACATTTGTGAGTTTACCTTTTAGATATTTTATAACAACGTACAAGTACAAGTACAGTGTAATCAAAAGGAAAAAAATGGCCCTTGCCCCCCATCTGCCAGTATGACATCACAACATTTTAGAATCTGAAAACTACCAATACCCGATATCAACCAATACTAGAGCAGAAACTAACAATAATATTTATAGGTAATTTCCCAAAATAAAATAAAACAGAACTGATCCAAAAGTGTTATGTAAACAACTTTGTATAAATATTTATGAGAATTTCAGAGTTGAATACAACCAGTAAATAGTCTTATTACTTCAATTTATGGGAACAACCAGGATATCGACGGAATCATTATTTGGAAGACGATTTCCAGTTTCCAGCAAATTTTTCAATATCGGTGTTAGGGCTGGGTATCATTTAGAAGTTGCCGATATGATGCATACCTCAATACAGTGCACTTTTGATTCAGTGCAGTGTATTGCAAATCGATTAGATATGGTTCAATAAAAAATAAAGGCTAAGTCATGGCTGTGATACTAAAAGTCTTTATTAAACCACTTCTTGTGCAAAGTGAATATGAAACACAAACATTTTAATCCTCAAAACAGTGAAAATGTCAAATGTGTCGCATAAACAAGTTTCCTTCCTCTGAACAAGCAACAAAACTGTAGCGCTGTAACAAAATAATTTGGTAAAATATATAAAAAAATACTCTTGGTGATATATTGATACAGCAGCCCGCGATATTTTTGCACACCCCTAATCGGCGCTGATATCCGATACCAATATTTGATCTATGTGTCCCTACCTACTCTTCTTTTACTTCAGTCTATGGGTTTCAGAATGATGACAAATTAAGACCGTTGCCATGTATTGTGGTATGTGTCTTATCGGCAACTTCTTAAAGGTTGTATAGAGGATTTTTTTAAGGAAAGAGAAATCCAGCGACAGTCCTTTTTCAAATGTTGTGCATGCGTGACACCACCTCCCTCAGTAGAAACACCTTCTCCCGCCTCCTTACTCTAGAAATCACGCATTCAGAATTACTGTTGAAGTGACCTGTCTAGAAATAATTCAGCGACCGACGTGTCAGATTTTAGACCCTTCGTCTGCTTCAGTCGCACCATCGCTGGAAGGAATCTCCAAGAATCACCTCAGTTTCGCTTCACTCCTTTTCCCCTTCTCTTCTTCTTTCAGCGACCTTACAAACCAACTTTCCTTTGTGGCGAACCGGGTCGTTGGATTCTCATCCGCCATCGCAACAAACTTTGTGCGAATTGCGAGGAAGCTACAGTTTGAAAAAGCCTCTAAGAATCGCTGCATAAACCACGTAATCCCTGCGCGCCGCGAGTCAGTTACACTAGAAACGTAGGGAGTTTGATTGACAGCCTAACAGCAATAAAAAACGAGGTAGCCTTGTTTTCTATTGGCTGGTGTTTATCTGGCCTCACTACGTCCACAGTTGATAGATTTTTGTTCTTTTTTTTTTTTTTTTTTTTGGTCATCATAATTACAAGGCTGCTGATTCTCTGTAATGGTATTTTAAACTTTCATTGACAATTTGGAACAAAAAAAAATTTATATTTAGCCCTATCGTTATTGTATCAAACCATGAAGGACCCTGTGATTCCAAGCCTTACATTTCATACACAACATGAATAGTCCCTGTAACACTTTACCCACCCTCACTGTCATTCAAGAGAGTTTGTGTGTCTCTGTGTATCTGTCCACCTCCTCCTCTCTACCACAGACTGTAATCAGGCAGAGGATAATAGGCTGTAGTGTTGGAGACATTAAACAGGCTCTTGTGTTATGTAGGTCAGCAGGTGGTTTAATCCTTGTTGCATAATTTTTATATCACAAAATGAGTCAGCAGAACGAAGGCCCAATCTCTCACCTCACCTACACCGCCAGGACAAGCTCGAGATGGACTAAATGTATTTTGAAACTCACGGGACACTGCAGATAATTATACATTTGAAAAGTATTATTTTGAGCTTAATTAGTAGTGATGGGACTGCGATTCCCCAATTTGAGACTCTTACCAAATTTGCGTCAGTCGTGCTGCTCCATTAGCCAGACTTTCCATTATTTTACTCATTAAAAACAGTGAAAAACTTTATCTTAATAATGTCATTTTCAAAAGTGCAGTTGTGTAACTTTTCTGGTGGAGGGTCCATGTTCATGTTTGGTCTTGGATGTTTGACAGTATGGCATTAAACTTTTCTGTCTTCTTGTAGACCAAACCAGACCAAGTTACAAGTCAGATCTGTGGAGA